GGTAACGCTATGGAATTTGCGGTCGGGTGGATTGTGGATTTGTGATTGGATGGATGGGATGGATGGATGGATGGGATGGGATGGGATTGGATATGATAGGTAGGGATTGGTTTATTATGCTTTGTGGTTTATGCTTTATATTACGATATTTGGGATTGGGATTGATATTTTATTATTATTTACTCTCTGTAAGGTTTATTATAATTCATTTGGTATTTTTGTTTACATGTATGTGTCTCTGTTTGTTATATCTATGTGTATATGATATGAACTATACACCTTTTATATAAAAATAATCCATCTCCTTTACTATAGCCATACGAGAGTACTACACAACATCCTCATAAGTATCTCCTCTCCCTAGCCATCTCACTGATATCGTTTTCACGAGACAATCGAGTCACTGCAGTGTTGTACATTGTACTCCGCTCCGTCACCCATCGCCCAGACCAGCCTACCAACTAAGCCTTAAACGTATGTACAACACCACTATGCATACACATAACAGGGGAATCCCTCATGGATTAGGTATAGACACGGTGGGAAAGGAATATCAAACAAGGAAGATGATCTTTACACACGCCTGGATATATCTGTGTCTGACTCTTGATGCACTTTTTGCTGTTCCCCATGATCTTCAAAGTTGTGTTTCTAGAACTAGAAGGGGGGGATGGGGGATGGGGAAGTTGCTTTGGATGGTTTAGTTGGTGGTTACTTGGATGAGTGCTGAGATGAGGGGTTATATCTCGTTCTTTGTTGGCACTGTCATCGTATTGAAGTATTGAAGTATTGAAGTGATCAAGGAAGTATCTATATGCCCTCATGCCCAGGTGATCACTCCATTCATTGCATGAATTTGCAATCTGAGTCCTCCGTATGAGAGATGAATTGAAGATATACGGAGTCATGAGAGAATCCATCTAACCGGGGCAAAGAATGGAATTATACACAGCTGGTATATCCATTCCACGTCAACGAATCTCTAGGATCTGCATAAGTAGTAATGATAGATATACAATAGAAGATGACTTGGAAAGACCTTGATATATGGAGTTCAGCTACTTACTAGCTATTATCTACCATCTAATTACTATCTAATTACTACTTACTACTTATTACTTAACTATTATCTACTTTTTATCATCTACTTATTATTATCTACTTATTATTATCTACTTATTATTATCTACTTATTATCATCTACTTATTATCATCTACTTACTATCATCTACTTACTATCATCTACTTACTATCATCTACTTATCACCTACCATCTAGACAATTTCCTTTAAAGTATCTGAATATCAACGAATAAAATTCAGAATAAGGAGGTCAATCTTGATGATTCTTAAATTATAAAGTACCAAATGTCTTACTCACAACCCAGACACTTATTAGTTTGACCAAAACGTTGCTCTTTTTCTCCTATACCCCGTCCGTGTATCTCATGATTTACCCTTATTACACAAACGTTGAACTTTTATTGCCCTTTTACACTTTTACCTTGCCCTTCCCGTACGTACAACAAGTAGTCAAATCCTCAAAGACATATAAAATGCATCTTTTCTCATAAAATTCAATTTAGATGGATATTCATGAGGTTTCAATTGTTCAATCAATGATTGTGGATATTCAAAAGCTCCTGCAATCCTTAATCCTTCTTATTCCTATGCTACTCGAGTATCTCAATCAATCCTCTTCATAGAGAACTCCTTTTTTATTATCGTTTATCAGTATTTCTACTTGAAAAAATAATAATAATATCACATTTCTATCTACTCGAGTATCCATCCATCCATTCATCTATCCATTCATCCCGTCATCATCTCTTTCATCCCATTCATTCGCTTGATACTAATGCAAATCGGCCGCCTTACTATCAGTGGTCCATCAACTACTTACTTACCACTTACCACTCACTCACTGCATCTACCCCGTCTCCAAAAAACAAAATCCATTCCTCCTTCACAATCAACCCCTCAAAAGTTCATACATTATACGCCATAGATCGTCTTTCTTATCGATTCTCTCCATTTACCATATAGTACAATAATGTCATAATGCGAGTGGTTTCGCAGAAAGATTCTGCGCCGTTGACTGCCAAAAGTGGTAATCCAAATATGCCTTCATACGATAAGACAACTCCCAATCGACCATTGGCACCAACTTTAAGTGCTTCTGCGAATAGAGGAAACAAACCCAAGACGCCATTAACTCCCAAAGTTTCGACAGCAAGACCGGCTTCAAGACAATCACGTCCAGAAAATACTACGCCAAATAATACAAAAGACGATTCATCGACTCTCGGTCCGATATCCATGAATGGTCACAATATAACCGCGAGATCAGGCACAAGAAAGACTCGATTTGATAGTATAAGTCATTCTCCATCAGGAACTCCCATACCTTCGGAAGGTCCTCGATTATACGATCCTACACAGAATGCGTCTGGCTTGGGTATTTCAGGGATGGAGAGGGATACAACGAAACGATCAAGTGTAGCATTCAGTCCTTCAAATTCAGAGTTAAATTGTTCACAATCATCACAATCCTCTGCCGACTCCAAATTCTTCTTTGCGAGTGATGTAAAACCACAGAGTCACAGTACACAACAAACAAAACCTGCGTTTACTAAAAAACCTTCCGCCTTCTTTCATGCCAATGGAGATAAAGTTCCCAAGAAACAACCACCTCGTTCTGGAGCATCGACCGTAGGATCAACTCTTGGAGAGGAAAGAGGTCATGCAAAGTTTTTCCATGCCAATGGTACACCGGAATTAGGACTATCGCCTTCACCACAATTTGCGCCTCCTCGCCCGAGTTCGGTTCTCTCAACTCATTCTCGAGTCGCATCTCCACGATTGGCAAATGCTACGACGACATCCCCTTCACAGCGACCCACGTCACCACAAAAATCAAATACTCAGTATGCCTCCATATCAACAGCCAGATCTCCAACCCCACTGGCTTCTCCTGTTTTACCTCGACCGAAAGCTGTGGTTCGTGGTCAATCGGCGAATAATATTACACAGTCAAGAAGGACAAGTGGAGATGGGGGGTATGGACATCAACGGAACACAAGCACAGGATCATCCATGGAGAGATTGGTATTGACAAGGAAGGTCTCATCAGGGGGTCATTCGACAGATGTGCCAAATCCAATAACAATCACAGAACCATCAAGTCCCGCCTCAATGTCACATGCAGATGAGATACCTGAAGGAGAGGAGGAGGAAGAGGATGAGGATGAGGAAAGTGAAGACGAGGAAGAGGAGGATGACGATGATGGGGAATCACTTTCCTCTGAAGACGAAGTAATAGAAGAAGTACTCAAAGCAGGAGGTTCGATAGAACGTATGAACGAATTAGCAGCCATCGCACGAAATGAAAGAAAGGTTTTAGATCTGGAGATTACAAACTCATCACTTGCCGCTATAAATCGAACTCTGGAACGAGAAATGAGGAGGCAGACGGCGGAACTACGAAGATATAAACGACTCAGTCGTTCGGGTCGATTATCTGTGGCCACAGGAGCTTCGTCACGTGCAACAAGTGGGACTTTGTCTGTTGTGGATGAGAGAGAGGGTAATGGCCTATCGGATATTAGTCAGGGGAATTCTGATCTGGAAGATGAGGAAGACGAAGAAGAAGAGGACCCATCTTCTGAAGAAGATCTCATTGATGCCGGGACATTAAGTCCTGGCGCGGTAGCCGAACATGATCTCAAACATCGAAAGAAAGACGAAAAAAGATTACGCCTCGACTTATCCAAACATCAACAACTACTAATCGACAGTCAAAAAATGAATCAAAGTCTCAAGAAATGTTTAGGCTGGACCGAAGAACTTATCAATGAAGGAAAAAGAGCATTAGAATATAAAGTTAAAACAAGCGATATAGAAACTCTCGCACCTCGCGTCTTGGCACCAGATGAACTCGACGATAATGATGTTGAAATGGATAATGAAGGCATGTCAGCAATTGGTGCAAGTCTTTTGAGAGAAGCGAGGAAAGCAGCAGCGGAACAAAAGGATAAGGCAAATAATCTTACGGTGCCAACGGAAACAGATGAACAATTGGAGGATTTAACACAGGATATTCAATTTGCGCTTTTTGCATCGGGGGAATCAAGTGAGATGCCAGTGGAGGAGAAGAGTGAGGAAAGACCGGAATTGGTACCGATTGCTCCGCCTACCAGTCCTTGGGTTTCGACTTTTACATCGAGATTGCAGACTCGTTCGTAGGAGGGGATAGAGGGGGGGATGAAGGGAAAGGGAAAAGAAAAGGGAGAAGATATCTTGTACGAATGAAAGAAAGAAGGAAGAAAGGAAAGAAAGACGTGCATAGCATAGCAAGCATATCACCACTCATAAATTTGCAATCCGTAATGCTTTTTTTTGCTTTGTTTTTCTCCACAGTCATGGTCTGGACTTGGACGTTGGGGGCTCTTAGGGAATGGGTTTTTTCAAGGGGTTAGGAGTTTGGGTGTACGTACATACATACATATATGGACTGGGTATGGCATTGCGAAGGGCGCTTTCCTCGCGATTTTATGTTTGGGATGGGATTTGGGTGGGATGGGATTGATTTGGTTTGGTTTGGGTCGAATGGATTTTGGGAGGGAAGGGAAGGGTTGATAAGGGTTGGAAAGAAAGGGAAGGGTCCAAGAAAGGGAAGGGAAGGAAAGAAGGAAAGGAAAGAAGGAAAGGAAAGAAGGGCAGGAAAGAAAGGAAAGGGAATGAAAGGGAATACTATTTTATTCGGATCAGGTTTTTGTGTTTTGTGTTTTGTGTGTGTATGTGTGTGTCATGTATGTGTATGTGTATGTCTTGTGTCTTGCTGTCTATATGTGCGTCTTTCTTGAACTCGTTTGATTGTATAGTGGATTGACTTTGACTTTGACTTTGACTTGATGCATTTTAAAAATATTCGATGAGATGAATAAATGAAGAGATATATAAACATCTATATACTAGCACTTATAAGATGAGAGAGAGATAGGGGGGGTATCAACAATTTTTATATGAAAAATAACAATTTTACTTTACTTCACTATGATATTATGATATTACATACGATATTAATCTTCCCAATTTCTTTCCTTCTCCCCTCTCTTACTTCTCTTTTGATCCCCGTATTTGTTCTTTTCATTTACCGAATCGAATGACTGATTGATTGAATGCCAGATTGATTGCAAATCCCTCCATTCTCGTCCAAAGCCGTAAATCTCAATTCAAATCTCACGATCCGATATCGATTTCCCGTAGACTCGTATGTTGACAACACCTCGACTTTGAACTAATCTTCTCGAATCGCGATCCATCGGCATTTGAGTATGTTTCAATCTATTGATTCACCATCCCTCTTATCCCATCTCCTCCCATCACAACTCCACGCCTAACCATACTTCTTCTCGAACTTTTTCAAAATTCCCGTAACGCCCTTCTCCAACCTCCCTGCGTTATCTTCCAATCGACCTCTTGGTCCTTTATCCTTTCCATCTTTCTTGTCGTCGCTCTTCTTCCCCTTTCCGCTTCCCTTTCTTTTAAGCTTCGCTTCGATTTCTGTGGGTCTGTAGACTTGTTGGTGGATGCTGTAATCATTGGCTGTCATCAATGGTTGACCAGCACTAGTTTGCGCGCCAGTATAAGTGTAGTTTGCGAAGCCTCCTGGAGGGGAGAGAGGTTGGAGACCGGGGGCTGGAGAGGAAAGAGGAGGATTTTGATGTTGGGGGGCGAAACCGGGAGAAAAGAGACCGGGGGTGGGTAGGTTATGTGTTGCGTAAGAGGGAGTGGAGGGGAAGGTTGCGTATTGGGTTGTGGGTTGATTGGGGGAGATAGGGGGAGAGGAGTAGGCGGGAGGAGCGGGGCCAGTAGGAGTTGGGAGGGGTGGAGTGCTGTCGGTAGGGGGTGGTGCGAATGTGTTTGGCGAGTTTGCAGCGGGTGGAGGTGCGAATGAAGGGGGTTGGGTTGCGAACTGTTGAGAAAATGGAGAGCGAAGTCCGGATGTAGGTTGAACGGAGCCGGAGAAATAGTTGGAATTCGGAGGGGTATTGGTATGTTGTGGTGGGGTTGCTCCAGAGAAGCTTCCTTGTCCGTGCGCCGGCTGGTGAGGTGGAGACATCATAGGGAAAGTTTGCTGTCTTTGGAATTGTGGTGGTGGAGCAGGTGTGGAAAAGCTTGAATGTTGCTGAAATTGTGAAGGTGGAGAGAATTGTCCATGATCAGAAGTTGCAGCGTGAACAAGTGGATTTCCCGCTCCATCTTCTGGCGGAGGTGTCTTTTCTCGATGCTGAATAGCTTCGGGAGCAGCTGGTGCAGCTGGATTATATGCCATTGGTGCAAAAGTAGCAGGAGCTTGTGATGGTTGGCTGGGGGGATTTGGCGGCCCAGGAAATGAAACATTAATAGCAGCTGGAGGAGAAGTTCGAGATGTCTTGGTTCTACCATGATGATATGAAGGGTCCAAGATAGCTACGTTTTCCAATTGCTGAACTATTGGACTCATATCGTCTGCGTGAGATGGTGGTGGTGCTGGCTCATCCTCAATCGTAATTTGATGCTGAGGTAGAACTCTCCGCACTCCATTCACAAAATTAAGTGCATCTTCTTTATTCCAGAAGTAGAGATCAATAGTGTGAAGTCTGTACATGTACTTGGTCTCGTTTCGAGGATCAAAAGTTGGCAAATGCCATTCTTGGGCACCAATTGGACTATTTCTTTGCTGTCCATTTGGTCCATCTATAGTCAGAGTGACCAATGTGGTATGCTTATAGGAATATTTGACATGAGCAGAATCAAGATCTGGTGATTATGGTATCAGTAAATGTGACCTATGCTTTTATCTCGCATGTGTATAACTTACGACCAGTGAAAGCATCTTGATCCGGAGTACCGGCATTGTTAGCTATTTCAAGTCGAGCTCTTCTCTGTCCTGCATTTTCGAAAAGATAGACATATGAACCTTTATCAAATCTGTGATGAGGAGGTTTGACTGTTGGTGGACCATAGTAATAATGTATATCTGCGAACCTATCGAGGGTTGGATCAACAACTTGTCTATAGACATTTGAGAGCTCTTACTTACAAAGTAGCTGCGAGATCTTCCCCTGGTCTTACTGCCATTTTATCGACCTGCGATTATTGATAGCTTCAGAGATGGTAAAGAAGTGAAGTCAAACGCTTTCTTGCGCGACAAGAGAACAATACAAAAAAGAAAGAGAGAAAAATTATATTGAGAAGAAGAGAAAGGGAAGAGAAACAGAAAGAGATTAGACTTATTCTTATTATACAATATTTCATACCAAGCTACCTGCGGCATGGGGGGTTGAGTGCCATGTCGGCGGCAAGCTGCATGAAGTGAGAACCAATGAGGGGTGGAATTGAGGTGATGGAAAGTTCATGCCTTAGAACCTTATCGCGATTAGATAAGGCAAAAATAAATTATTTTGGTTTTTGGCTTCATTAGGAAGTAGAACGAGTCGAACAATTTCAAGCTGTTCCAAGGTTATATGAATCTATTTCGAGGGTGCAATTATTGAATCTGCGAACGTAAGTCCTGCGAAATCTTGACCGTAGCAATTGAATCACATTTTCAAAAAAAACTATCTAATATTCCTCTCAGAATCTCATCTACTCTCCACTTGGAAGAATATAACCCCGATAAATCGCACCAATTGTGCCCGCGTGGGCTTGCGAATTCGTCTTAGAGACTCCCAATCCCCATCATGTCTCTCGTCACTCTCTCTCACGTAGCATCACATCTTCAAAATGCCTCTAAAGCCCGACTTGGGCTTACTTCGGTCCCCTCCTCGAACATGATTCTTACTCTCATGCTCGGTCTCCAATCCTCTGGATTCCTCTCTTCGGTCACCCGTGGTGGCATCACACCTCCTCCTATGGATGAATTATCCACATATGTACCAGAACCTGTTACGCAGCGAAATATCTCGACAAGGAGGTTATGGTTAGGAATGAAGTACTGGAACAATGAGCCGGTCTTGAGTGAAATGTCGATGATCAGTAAGCCTACAAAGAGAATTTGGATGGATGTGGAAGGGCTCTCAAAGATTGTGAGAGGCCAGGACGCGAACTTTGTGCAGGGTTTGAGAAGACCGGGAGAGTGTATCTATATCAGCACATCGAGTGGAATCTTGGAAGCAAGAGAATGTGTAGAAAGGAGGGTGGGTGGTATGCTTTTATGCAGAGTCGTGTAGGTGATGATGATCAGGAAAATGTGTAAAATTACAGGGCATGATCATTTGTGGGAGTTCAACAAGTGTACAAAAAAGTTACTGGGTTTGCTCAAAAAGCTAGACCATTAACGGCTCGGGTGATGAATTTCGATTCCATACTTCAAAAAGGATAAATTATTGCGTTGACCCAAAAAGTATTATCTACTTCTGCGATCCTTCAATGGAACAAAGTACAACGCCTGAACATAGATCGCCTTGTTATTACTATTATTGATGCGGGGTTCAACCCCTCATTCATCGCATTGATATCCAGACGTGCCCAAGAAGCGCTAGGAAATGGCAGCTGAGTCTATTGTATATAACTCAGCAGGTTGTGGGATTGCTAATTTAATACCTCTCAATCATCCAATTTCTTCTCTGCTCATCCTTCATACTGTTCATAAGCTCCAATTCACCTCGTTTCATCGCAATATATGTGACCACCACGGCCTCACCGAGTATCTTGTACATACCTTGGTCGATTCTAAGAGCGGTAAGTGCCTCCTCCAAAGTACAAGGCAACATTTCTTCGATATTGTAGACATCTCTATCTGCTTGGCTCAATTTGGCAGGGTTCATGTCGCAGTCAAGCCATGTCATCTTGTCTTTTGAAACCACGCCTTCTACACCTGCACCAATGATAGCTGATAAAGCCAAGTAAACATTGGCAAGGCCATCCATACATCTCAACTCCCAATGCGATCCATCGATTTTACGCAAGGCGGTTTCTCGATTTTGAGTACCCCAAGTCACCCATGTACTACCGGCCCAACCACGAGCTGCAAGCATACGATCATAGCTGGCAGGATTACCATAGGTGAAAGCCGTAATTGCGCGAAGATGTTTCAGTATTCCCGCATAGAAATGAGTATACGTTTGTTCTTTCTCTCCTTCCGGGGTTGGTATGGATAAGTGAACATGTGCTCCCGTGCCCATTTTGCTGGGCAGAGGTTTTGGGTGCAATGTCGCACGCCATCCATGAGTTTGTGCAACTGCGGCAATGATCTCTCGAGTCTGTAAAAGTATATCTGCAGCCTCAAGAGGTGCGCAAGCAGGCAAGACAAACTCAAATTGACCAGTTGCTGATTCTGGATGCCACTGCTCGAGATCAATACCAGCATCGGAAAGTTTCTCGATTATCTCATCCATAACATTTATTACAGCGGGAGATAGTGCGTTATTAGATCCCCAGCAATGAGAGTCCGAACCTGGAAGCGGAACATAAACGTGGGTATTGTCTTCGTTAAGTGTCCCTTTCATGAATATAACTTCAATCTCAAAGCCGACAAGAAACTCGAGTCCGTGATTCTTCGCTCTGTTCACTATATTCCGAAGATTAGTTCGTGGGCATACATCAAGTGGCGAATTGTCAGAATTTCGAAGCTCTCCCTGTGCCGAAGCATACCCATGACATGGACCGGGTCGCATAGAAGAGGGGACTGCGGTTAAAAGCCTAGATACACCTCTGGGAGAGACTGAATCAATCCGATGATCGACTGGCGTGAGAGTTAAACTACTATTAGTGATACCAATAGAAACATCAACCTTTTCGTCGCAAAGAAGATTACGGACACGTTTGATTGGTAAAATCCGTAGTCGAGTAATGGAGCAGTAGTCGACATATTGTACACGCAGAAATTTAATTCCCGGGTGTTGTGCCATGAAGGATTCAAATAATTCCAGATCTGATGGATTTTCTGAAATGTCTGCATGACTGGTGCTCTTGTTCCCATTGGTTCCATTGGTTCCGTTCATTGTATTTCTTCCGTTAACCCCATTGGTTCCATTGATTATATCAATGGTGCAGATACCGTTTGTGTGGTAGACGTCTTTGGTACCGTTAACCCCATTGACCAATGTAGTCTCGTCCAATCCATTAAGAGATTGATCAACATCCTTTATTTTCATAGGCCTCAATTTTGACTGGAGGGCATACAGCTGATTAGATGTGTTGAAGAAAATATTCTCAACGACTTCAACAGCCTGTTGAACAGTCAATGCTTTCTTAGTGACATATTCGACGAGGACCTGGAGACCATCAGTATCATTGGATATATGCCACGTTCCTAACTGATTGTGAGAAATCTTACTCTTTCAAAAGCTTCACGAGATTGAATTTGTGCGAGTAAATACGTTTCTGGAAAATCATGCCCATCTGAGCTCCACACAATCTTCTCCGTAGGACAAAGCTCCAGAAGATCGCGAATAACACCTTCTTGACCATCCTGGCTTACACAAGGAAACACTTCACCAATGTCAACATACACATTTGAGTGTATGGTAGCTAAGTATCCCGCTTCCTTCGTCCATGGATAACAAGAATGTACTAAAACGATTGGAACATCTGAATACTCACGAATGAAGTCTTCTAGATGTGATGGCAAAGAGCGAGTGAGAGGTAGTTCATCATCGCCTAAACTAGTGTGGAACTGAATTGGCTTCTTGTGGGAACTTTCGGATTCTCGGATGAGTAAAGCTGTCATGTGAATGATCCAGGAGTTCAAAATTTGGCCATCGAACCCTTTGAAGCGAATATGACCCTCGTTCTGTGGTTTCCAAATACATTGCATCAAGGTCGATTTTATCAGTTCGAGGGGACAGACCCAAGCAATATCAAGCTTTGGTCTATAACAGATGGCTGATATAAAGCCGACAACATCGGTATCGGAAATCGCATCATTTATACCCTTTTGAAGCTCCTCGACCACTGAGTTAAAGAACTTATCTTCAGAGATAGCGAATAACATGATGTTCTGATTCACTATGTCTGCTGCAAGACTTTCAATCCTTACTATCCTCTTGCACTTACCTATGGCAGCCAAGATTAGCTGAGCGTTGGATAGGTAGATACGTACCGTATCGAGGTGACACAGCATCTATACGAGAGCGGGGAAATATAAAGATACTGACTTCTTGTTGAGCTGCCATGCAAAAAATAGTCGAAAGTTTGATTTTCCGTACTCAAACAATCAAGAAGAACTGTTTCAATCCCTTTCAGACATTGTTTGATCCACGCATCGCCTAGCTTTTCGTTCTCTTTTTCAATGGCTTCCAAGACATCGTTCCATGTTGGGGGACAACCGAGAATATCTGCAAGTTGATTTGTAGCTCGAATGTGTGCCAAAGTTGAACGAGAAGCTTTTAGAGCGTCTCCATTGCCTTTGGTAGTAATGCCTAGTAAGGAATGTCTGGTCTTGGATGAAGGAATCAGTAATGGCCGTGCGCGGCTGTCAATTAATGGAGTGGTACGAATGGCCCTAACAAGTCGCTCCATTTTCAGCGAGAGAGAATTATAAATTAGTTGATGAGTATTGGATTACTTCAATTGTTTGCAGATTTTTGAGAGTTTATAAATAGGGAGAGGAGAAGGACAAGAGATTTCCCCTCATTCCCCTCATATTAATAAAAGTCATGGCATGTAGTTCAATGACGCCTTCAAAGTTCGGTCACCTATTTGGATGCGGGGAATAAACAATTGTATGCTCCATTGATAGACTTGCATGGCGGCAATATAGAAAATTGCGAGAGGCGTATTGTTGCATATGATTGTAGGTACTAAAATGCACGGGAAGTCCTCAGCTGGAGTTTGAAATGTGTTGGCACGTCTGAGTGATACGGAGGTCGATCAAAATATGGGGATAGCTTCAAATTTAGAGAATTGGTAGGAGCACATCACACAAACGGCCTGAAGTATGGATGTAAGATTACCGACTGCTTACGTCTCAAGCGACAAGACTTCGTCAATGCCTTAGGCACTAACTTGAATGTACTGTACCGAACTCGGCTCGGCTCGACTAGCCGTCCAGATTAGTCAAGCCGCTCAGAGCGGCGAGTTGTAACCTTTACCACTTGAAGTCACACTTATTATTACATTTCATCTGGCTTTTTTTTTATCTCCCTACTTCTCACCCTTTTTCTCACTCGCAACATTCGATTCGACGAATTCGATTTTCCTGTCCACAGTAGCACGGATAATTGTTCATTCAGCTTACGCCTGTATGTGGAAGCCCTTAGAAATCAGCAAGCAGCCTGCCAAGTCAGTGGCTGTTGTGTTGTCAATACATAATCTTAAACTTCGAATTGTCCTTTCCTGGGAGG